TTCATATATAGCCATTTATAGCACCTATCCCAATATATTATTTTTAATTTGTACATTTCTGTCTTTTTGGCTAGCCTGTGAGCTTTTAGAAAGCATAAAATGTGTATTTTTCTTTTTTAAAAAAGAATACTAAAGGCCATTAGTATAAAATGCAAATTAATAAGCATTTATGGACCACCTATTATGTTCCAAACATCAGCATCTATAGAATATAATAGGTGCTCCATAAATGTTTGTTGATTTGCATTTGATTGATGCTTACATTAATGACCTTGAAAAAATACTTCATGGTTCTGATGATGCCTCAAATGATTGTAGTTCATACACCCCAGAAAGTTAGTACTCAGCAACCAACATTTAACAGGCCATTGTTCTTTTACAGTCTGATATATTTAGCAAATATTTTATTGAACTTCTACCAGATTATCAGTAAAAAAAAGAATCTTCCTTGGTTTCACTGAGGGAATCCAAACTTAATTTGATTTAGACTTGGCCTCTCTTTAAAGCAATTAGTCTATGGAGTTCAGTGATAACATTAATTCTTTCCAACTTAGAATAGCTAAAGTTTTTTTTTTTTTTTTTTTTAATTTCTAAAAGAGGTTTCGAATGTATTGGTAAATGGTGAGAAGGAGGTGGGAACTTGGGGGAAGGTGGAGTTCCCAGAAACATTTGATCTACAGAAAGATCATTTTGGCTTTGATGATTTTAAGATTGCATCATAACCTTACAAGAGGCTCTATGTCTGAATGGGTGGCCCATATAGAGAGTATACCTTTTAGCAGTTGCCATGTAATTTTGGATGAGCTATTTAGATCATTTAAGTATCCCAGGGTCTTTCATAAAGTTGGGTCTTAGGGAAATCTGGTCCTCTGTAGGTAAATTTTAGATATTAGAAGAACCATGGCTGATTGGCTGTTGTTGTTTTTTTTTTTTTAAGGGGTTGTTGGGTTTGAGGAAAGGGGCCTTGGGGGGGTTGATTTTTTTTTTATTCCTGGAGAATCTTTATCCTGGGGGAGGATGAATTGATTGAGTTAAAAGAGTAGTAATTTAGAAATCGCTTCATTTGCTTTTCCCCCCTTGATGTAGAAATAGAATATGTTTAAATCACACTCTTTAAAAATAAAGAGTACAGAATATGAGATCTTAATAACTATGTAATACAAAACAGAGTTCAGTTCTGCATTATGTTTAGTTAACCCAGAAAGAGACAAACTCAGACATGTGAAAATATAGATTGAGAGCAAGGAAGAGAAAATAAAAAGTGAAGGGAATGAGGGAAGATTGGTTTTGGGATGCTGCCTTCAAGACTCAGCCCCCTCTCTTTTCCTTCACTGCTTCAAAATCTTTTTTCTAGACTCAAGAAACAGTGTACTGAGCAACTCACAATGCCCATTCTTACCTGCCGTGTTCCTTGTAGACTTAAGTTTCCTGGAAGGTTATTTTCATCAGCTGGCTGACATCTATAGCCTCTTATGCGTGGCAGCTCCTGAGGGCCTCGCAGAGGCTGTGCCCTCCTCCCTTTTCAGGACAGTGGGATAAAGCATTTATCACCAGAATTCTCAGCGGGGTACACGCTTGCGCATATTCAGTTTGCTCATGGTAGACATTTTTTAGATGTGTGCACTGGGATGGACAGAGTTTGGTCATGTCCCTTTTCCCCCTTTGTTCCTGACTGCCCATTAAAAATACAATCAATTTTTAATGTGGGCTCTGTGATCAATAGCACCTTTCGTTTATTGAACGTGTAGGATGCGTTTGGCCCAGTGCTTGATGCTTTAGGTAATATAATCTTTGCAACGATTCTATGAGGTGCATAGTATTATTGCAGTTTTAAGGATCAAGACCCCAGGGTTCTAAGAATTTAAGTAATTTTGCCCAAGATCATACCACTAGTGAGAGATAGAGCCAGATTTACTCCAACACATTATGTTCACATACTCCTCAAAAAAAAAAAAAGGACTTGGGCAAAGTAATGGAAGTGGTTAAATAAAACCTTTGGGTATAAAGTAATTTGACCTAGGTGGTGAATTGAAGGATTTTAGATGTGGTCTGAGTAATTCCTTCTCTGAAGTCAACCACAATAACAGTTCATTTTTGGTTTCTCTGCCAACTGCGACTCCCTGGTTACTTCTTTTTCCAGCAGCTGGAATTAAGTGACCAATATAAGGTGACATAAGAGTTAATAGTAGATTATAGTGTTAGAATTTACAGTTTAAAACGTAAATATTCTGTTGCATGCTCCCTGGGGGTCCTCTTCTATGTTTTTGGGATGCAGTGTATTTTGTTTTACCGTGTGTGAGGGCACAGGCTTTGGTGTATGAGGGAATACCTGCTGTTGTGTGCCAGGAAACACCAGCTCATTTTGGAAAGTGGAATTGCTATAAAGAACAAATGTGTGACTCAAATTTTAGGGTTGGATTCAGCTTTCCCTAAAATGCTTGTGGTTTTTTTTTAGTAAGTGTATTTTTTCAATTGAAGAAGTTGGTCTACAGTTGGAAATAGGGCAAAAAGTAATTTGCAGCAGAGAAGAATTGCGTTTCCCAAAGTGGAATGTTGTGGTAATGTGGCGCGCCATTGTTCTAACTGAATACTCCCTTAGGAATGGAAGGTACCCTCATTCTTTACTCCTGGACCCAAATTTTAGGAAAACCAAATGTTGGGAGTTTTGTGGTGCCATTTTATAGTAGATGCAACTAACCGCGCTAATGTTCCTGTACAACTCTTTAAAGTTGCTGCTGCAGCTTGTTCACTCATCATGAATGTGACACCAGCCAACTTGAGGGACGCATGTCTAGACCTCCACAAATGTGAGATAGCTTTAGAGGGAAAAATAAAACATGAGGGTGCCCTGAGCACTGGGCATGTTATGTATAGGCAGGAATCCCTTAGAATGTTAGAATCACTTGAGAAATTAAATTGGAATGTTACATCAATACTGGGGGACATTTGTCAGAGGAACTCAAGGCAGAAATAGCTAAGGCTGTAGCAAAATAATATAATTTATCGTTTTTATGTAACTACCATACTCCAGGTTTGGAAAGTGACCAACAATGTACCATTTTGATAGCAATCAACAGAAAGGTTGATCAACTAAATTATACGTCAGTGAGTTTTGCCTCAATTCTAGAAAAAGTAATAGAGGCATTCATGGGGGATAAGCTTTTTAGGGCATACTCAGCTATCTTTGACTGTCTGCTGGAAACTCCAGCCGGAATCCAGACTGCATTTACTTCCATTTTGGGGAACCCTGAACAACTTGGAAGATAATGAGGAATCACTAAATGTATTTGTTAACATTTACTAAAAACTGTCCTAGGACAAAAGGAGTCCTGGTGACATAGTGGTTAAGTGCTCAGCTGCTAACCAAAAGATCGACGGTTCGAACCCACCAGCTGCTCCGCAGGAGAAAAAATGTGGCAGTCTCCTTCCATAAAGATTAAGTTCTGCTCTGTCCTATAGGGTCACTATGGTCAGAATCGACTCGATCGCAACGGGTTTTGGGTTCTAGGACGAAATGAAAAAGACAAGGAAATGGGATGAAAGGGTAAAAATCTAATCTCAGTACTAAATCTAGTTAGCAGGGAAGTGGCAAAGGGCAGAAATAAATAAACAAGTTTGCTATAGGAAGAAACTAACAGGATGTCTTTGTGTTTAATAGTAGAAGCAGCAATTGCAGTATGTTAATCACTTACCTGAAACAGCAGACTAACCCTGCTGAAAAAAGCCAGTATAAGATTTTTCTGCTCTGCTAAGACCAAATCCCTTTCTTGGCTCAAGTACAATGGCAGGGTTTTGGGAAAGAGACTTTTTGATATATGGCAGTCCATGACAGAGCCCTAGGCTGTGCCCCTCTATCAGATTTTATTGAAATCCACTACAAAGTTCAAAATTGCCTTTTAGGCAAGCAAACAAGGCTTCTGAATCTGAGCCACCCATTCCTCCACCATTTAGTAAAAGCGTAGTGTGTTCACAACCATGATCCGCACACTGAGGAAGACTCAGGAGTAGACAGAAGCTCTGCCGCTGCCTAGGAGCATGCAATTTAGTTGGGGAGACAAAGCTTGAATACTAAAACCAGTAGAAGAAGATTACAAAGCAACTTGCAAGTAAATGTATAATAATATGGGGCAATTGACACAGATAAATGCAGAAGGGATGTGGAGGAAAGAGGAGTGTGCAAAACACAACAGTGCCGGATACACCCAAGAAGGCATGTTGCCTAACAGTATAGCCTCTACATTCCTTTCTGTAGCTTTGGTGAGAAATAATGTGGGATAAGAAATTCGATATACTACATCGATCTCTTTCTGCTTATCTGCAAAGTCTGTCCGTCTATCACAGATGGAAATTAAATTGATTCAACAATTTGCTCCCCACAAAGCCATGTTGGTTTCTACTTAGTAATTTATGCTGTTCTTGGTGTTTGCAAATCGATTGCTATTATGGGATGTAGACAAATCTGGGCCTGGATCCAGTAGGTTGGGGGGATTATTGGAGTGGATATGTGTGCATGCACGTGAAATCCTGGAAAAGCACTCTCATTTTTATGTATTTTACTCATTGAATAAAAACATATTTTCAGGTTTTCTTTTTTTTTTTTTTTAGAGCATGTTTAATTACGCTCAGATTGCATTTCTAGGGAATGTATCTGCTTTATTTCATATTGCTTCTGACAGGCCTTGACATTTGCCCAACCTTCAAACCACCTTCAGTTGCTTTGTAGCCAGCCTCTTTGTTTCAAAAACGCCGTGCTTTATCCCAAGACTATTACGGATGACTGCTTTTATTTTTTTTCTTTTCACGTAGAAATATGTATAGACTCTCATCTCGCTTGATAAATAAAAGTGTTGTTACCAATCAGCTTGGGAAAGTAAACTTTATTTAAACACTCAACTTCATTGTTGTACCTTAAAAACAATTTTTTTAAAAGTCCTTTAGAGGATTGTGAAATTCTTTCAAAACAAATTAAAAGGAAAACATTTTCTGTGATTTCTTTACAGATTCTGGACAATCAGGAAGTCCAAGCCACAATGATCCTGCCAAGAATCCTCCAGGTAAATATGTGTTCCGGGACGTTTGCAATCTGACATTGTTGGAGAACAAAGGGTACCACTGTATAGATAAACACACCATAATTGGTCAGCTGCCTATTTTGTTCTGGCAGGCAGGTATTATCAGGACAAGATGTGATTCTGTTTAGGCCCTTTGCAGTGGCAAATACTTCCATATTGGCGTCATCCCTATTTACCTAATCACCAGCGTTTTAATCTTTGTTGGTGTTTCTTTGTAAATAAATATGAATGAATTTTGGTGTTAGGTGCTAAAAGTCTTTGCTGTTTGAAAGTTCCCCCCGCCCCCCCAGAAAAAAAGCCTTTTAGGTTTTCTTTTAAAACTCACAAGAAGAAGTTTTTCCATACTTTTTTTTATAGTTTATCAACTCTCATTACTTTAAAAAGGGTGGAGTGGTTGATTTTTTTTTTTTTTTTAATATTTCAGTGAGGGTTTTTTGCAAAAGAGTTATTATTCCATAAGGTTTTTGTTGGATCCCGAGAATCAGGAAATAATGAAAGTAGGACTTTTCCTTTAGTATAATGTATGCCAAATACCCTCTTTATTTTCAGAAGTTGTTCCAGATCTGAAAATAGGCTTTAATAACTTGGCTGTCTTCATAGTTTTGTTGCTACAAAGTCGGAATATGTAGCATTTTGTTTCTGATTTAGGAGTAGTATCTTTTCTCATGAGGTAAAACAAGCACGAGGAAGAATTTCTAATATTTCATTATCATAAGAGTTTTAATTACATTCATGACTGTGGTAAAAGAGTACTTTAGGAATAAAATAGCAAAAATAAAACAACACCCAAGTCAGCCAAATATACCTCCAACCTCCTCCCACAAATCTCTTCAATCTTTTCTTTGAAAACAAACCAAAAGGTTTATAAGAAGTAATGGTAATTGTTTCTTCAGGTAGACAGTTTTGGGTCCTTAATTGTTTCATCTTCTTTGTCGTAACGCTTAGCTAGTGTGAGGTTTGAATACTTAAGGAACCCCCAAAATTCCAAGAAAATATGTTAGACCAGTATGTTTTACACTGGTATCAGAAGGATACAGCAAGTAGATATGCAAGTAAAAATGTAAAATCAAAACAGAACATATTTTTTCTTTCTGAGTCTTCCCTACACTTTGCTTTTTATTTTTACCTTAGAAAAATTATCTTCTTCCAACTAGATAGTAACTTATTCCATATTATAAAAGAATTATATTGTTTGACAAAAGTAATATATAGATAAAATATAGAAAATTCTAGTTAAATAGATTTTAAAAGTAAATTAAGCTGATTTTAATTTTTTTCTACAAAATCATTTAATATTACTACAAATTGATAGCAAAACATTAAAAGAAGCCTGAAAAGTTTTAAATGTGACTGCCAGTTAAATTTATTATTTTACTTTTTTTCTGCATGTGATGGGAGAACAGAATTTTGTCAGTTGTCTTTCCAGACAATCTATTTAGAATGTGATCAGTTTTGCCAGAAATTTTCTGAAGATGAGTTAAGTTTTATTAACTTACAGTAAGCCTTTTAACTTTATAAGTATTTATTCTTTTTAGTTGTCTGATATTTTCTCTGTGTGGTACGTGATGGCCAAAAGTGAATTATTCCCAAACATTTCATGAAAGCCTTCTCGCTCATTTTATAAAGAATAGGGAAACAAATTCAGTAGAAGACAAGAGTAGATAAGTATTTCAAGTCCGACTAAACAAAGGGTATGTTCTTCATATTTGAATGACAGCTTGATTTGGAATTATTAAATCTGTTGTTGTTTGAAATGCATTTCTGAACACGTACAGAAGGGAAATATGCTCACCTAAGTATGTTCTCTATTTGAGTTGAATGAATAATCTCTGAGTAGGATTCGATTTTTTAGCATTTGTCAAGAAGCTTAGTTAAATTTTTCTTTTGCTACATTCAGCAGCAAAGACGATCTCTGAAATTATCTTAATTAAATTATGATAATCTCTTAAATTATCTGTTTGAATATCACATAGCAAACAGAAACAAACTTTCAGGGTAGAGCATGTCTAAATTTTTTCCACTTTTAAATTTTGCTTGGAAATCAGACCTTTCAGTGAACTGTGTCTTAAAACTGGGGTGTTATGATTAGCTGAAAATTGTATATATGTAAATTATACATTCACTGCCAGTTTTTCAGATTTCAAATATATGAGATACATGTAATATCAAAATTAAATTTAGTATGATTAGAATTTTCTATGATGATTCAGATGCACTCCATCAATATAACATGTTTTGTGTATCGTTATATTGTGGGCTTAACCATTGTGCTTATTAACAAATTTTGATTGAGGAAAGTAAAACCAGAGAGTTTGTTCTGTAATACCTTGAAATAAATGAAATCACTAGGAATATTTTTTCTGTTTTTAAATGTGAAAAATCCAAAATGATTAAAATTTTTGTTTTTCAATCAATTGGAATAAATTACACTTACTGTTAAAACTCCTTTCATAAGTGTGAGCATCTTTGTTATTTTGGAGCATAATTTGTCTTTAGGAGGCTCTTTTCATCTCTGTATCCTGACCTTGGCTGAAATTTGAAATCATCAAAGTTGAGATTCAGTATCTCGAGAAGGCACAATTTACTTACGGGAAAATTCAATCTCCTGCAGAAACCCTGATGGCGTAGTGGTTAAGAGCTATGGCTGCTAACCAAAAGGTCCACAGTTCCAATCCACCAGGTGCTACTTGGAAACCTTATGGGGCGGTTCTACTCTGTCCTATAGGGTCGTTATGAGTTGGAATCGACTCAACAGCAATGGGTTTTGGCCACAAGTTAAAAAAAAAAAAAAAGTTAAATCTATCTTGCTGCTGGTATTATAACGAGGAGAAGCTAAACTTTCGAGAAAGATCGCCTTGATTCTCAGCACTTTCTTACCCCTGATAGTTTTCCAGTGGGAGATGTGCAACCTATGGAAATTACTCCCATCTACTCCTATTCTTATTTGCTAACAGCTTGGGAAGAGATGGCAACAATTCCAGCCCTTTTAGAGATATAGGCTCTTTAGAAACTGTTCCCCACTGATGACATGAAGGTGGAATCCTATCCACTCATCCCATGTGTTCAGATGCATATGGCTGCCCACAAACACAACACTCCCTCTGCCTGGCTTTTCCCAGCCTCAGACAGGACTGTCTAACTTAAGAGATTCATCCTTATTGATTCAGAAAACCTTCTAAGGGTGACTCTAAAGCCCTTCAAACTGTAGTATAGATGTTTACTCTTAACTTTGGTCTCTTGATCGGGATTAGTACTTAGTGAGCACAAGCAAACAAAAGCAACTTATTTTTTGGGGGGGATATATGATATTTTTTAAAGCATTTAGGTAGTCTTTTTGTTATTTGAGGAGCCCTGGTGGCACAGTGGTTAAGTGCTCAGCAGTTCGAACCTACCAGCCACTCTGCGGGAGAAAGATGTGGCAATCTGCTTCTATAAAGATTACAGCCTTGGAAACCCTATGTGGTGGTTCTACTCTGTCCTATAGGGTTGCTATGATTTGGAATCGACTTGATGAAATTCTAAAAAGCATTTTAAAAAGCATTTAAGTAGCCTTGTTTTTTTAAATCCCGAGTATTGCAAATGGTTAGTGTGCTTGGCTGTTAATCAAAAGATTGGAAGTTGGAGTCCACCTAGAGCCACCTCAGAAGAAAGTCCTGGCAGTCTACTTCCAAAAAATCAGCCAATGAAAACCCTACTGTAACATACATGGAGTTGCCAAGAATCAGAGTCTACTGTACAGGAACTGGCTTATTGGTTGTTATTTTTAAAAGCATTTAAATGTCCTTTGTGATATTTCTTTATACTATTTATGATTTAATATTTTGTTTTATTCTCAGTTATAAGGCAGAGATCGGCACAGTAATCTTTTCAGGACTAAAGTCCTGTAAAAGTCTGATTCTGCCCCTAATGGGCCCAAGAACTTAGCCTTATTATTTTTGTCAAAAAGTAATTGGCTATTTCATTTTTTTTTTGTGATCCAAATCTCCCTTGTTTATGATAGAAGTTATATGTTTATATTCAGTTACTTTGTGAATATCAAATTAATCCCTTGTTTATGATAGTCAGAAATTATATGTTTATATTCAGTTGCTTTGTTAATATCAAATTAATAGAAGTACAAGCGTTCTCTCTCAACTCTAGCATATAACTCTTTTTTTTTTATTTATACAGCTTTTTTTTTTTTTAATTGTACTTCAGGTGAAGGCTTATAGAACAAATAGTTTCTCATGAAACAGTAGTACACATATTGTTTTATGACATGGGTTAACAACCCCACAACATGTCAACCTTCTAACTTCTCAACCTTTTTTTTTTGATGAAAATACACATAGCCAAAGATACACTGTTTCCAAAATTTCTACATGCACAGTTCAGTGACATTGACTACGCTCTTCCAATTGTGCTGTTATTCTCACTTAAGATGAAGGCTTACAGAACAAAATAGCTTCTCATTTAACAGTTACTACAAATGTTGCCCTATGTCAATGGTTAACAATCTCACAACACATCAGCAATATCCTTACTCAACCTTGGGTTCCCTATCAGCAACTTCCTTGTCCCCTTCTGCCTTCTGGCCCTTGTGACTGGACTACTATACCTCGTTAGTCTCATTTGGTTTTACGGGGCTGTCCACTCCCAGGCTGAACGGTGAACCTCGGAGATAACTTCACCACTGAGCTAAAAGGCTGTCTGGGGGCCATACTCTCGGGGTTTCTCCAGTCTCCTTTAGGCCAGTAAATCTGGTCTTTTTTTTGTGAGTTAGAATTATGTTCTACATCCTTCTCCAGCTCTGTCCAGAACCCTGTGTTGTGATCCTGGTCAGAGCAGTCAGTGGTGGTAGCCAGGCACCATCTAGCTGTACTGGACTCAGTCCGGTGGAGGCCTTGGTAGCTGTGGTCCGTTAGTCCTTCGGACTAATCTTTTCCTTGTATCCTGTTCTCTTCATTTTCCCTTGCTCCCGAAGGGATGAGACCAGTGGAGTA